CTAGCAAGGCAAGCAGAGTCTGAGTTTAGCAGAAACAGATCTCCTGAGAAAGTAAAACTTAGCTCACACTGAGAGACTAAAAATCTACCCATCATTTGTCAGCCTGGAATGACAGACACAGATAAAGCCAGCTGCAAACTTAACAGAAAATAAGATCTCTCAAGGACACTGAAGCTGTAATGTGTCATAAAAAAAAAAAAAAAAACCTACTTTGAATGACTCCTGCTTTATTAATCACTGAGAAAGTTTATTCTCTAAAATCATAGATTATCAGAGACTTTGCTGTTTAAAATTAAATCAGTAAAAATAAAACACCCTACTCTTGCCTGGAGGGTCTAAGGCACTTTGACACAGAGAATCAGTCTCAATTTACAGCCCAGGTAGAGATTCGAAGAAGGGGTTTCTGGATACAAGAGCCTACAGCCATCTTAACTTTGCACTTTCCAAGGACGCACGAGCCTGGGTCTACTTCACACTCCAAACCTGATGTTGACCCCTTTAGCCACAGGCCTGCTTTGCTTTGAGCCTCTCAACATCGCTTCATTTAAGTATCGCCTAAATTCCACCCTTTCCCCAAATCCTCCAATAGTTCTCTCTTTTCTGTTGCTTGCTGAGATGCCCACCCGCCCGCCGCCCGAGGTTGTTCTGGTGGCAGTCTCCATCCTGCCCTGGGCTGATAAGCTGACTGCATCAGACAACAGGTTTGCTCATGGTGATGTTAGGCTGGTTGGGCTGGGACAATTCTAATCAGTCTACTAGAAGGAGATGATGAAGCTCTGTAGAAGCCCAGTTAGAAAAACCAAAGGGGTTGTCGCTTGGGGACAAGGTAAGAGCCCACTGCGGGAATCAGGTTATTAGGATCAGACAAGAAGTAAGTGTGCTTTGGTGCCAGCCTAAGTGTTGGTCTGTTACAGCCTGAGTATCTTTCGCCTCAGTTCACACTGGTCTGAAAATAGGGAGACAGAGTTAGGACAGCAGGGAAAGCTTCAGTGGTTTCAACTGAAGAGAGTACTAGGGAGGTAGGAGCTGGGAGCCAGCTGGTTGTGACTGAAATCTGGGACCAGTGATGGAATCTCAAGCCCAGCAGTCCCTGACTAGGGCCTTTTCCCCGGGCCTCACACAGGGAGATGCCTGGGAGTTAAATTCTGCAAGGGATAAAGCATTTCCTCCCCACAGACATGTCTTCATCTCTCTGAAGGGAAAAATACTCGGGAGGAAAAGAAGAAAGAGTAGAAGGAGGGGGATAGCCAGTGGAAAAGCCCAAAATAATGGACTTGGAGCAAGGGAAGCACCTTATTCTGAAGCTCTCTGTAGATGCGGTGTGTCATGCTAGAGCTGGGGCTGTGCAAACTAGTGGAAAACCCATCGAGTCTAGTGCACTGGTGATCTTCAGACTTCTTATCATTTTTCTGAGCTACATGTGTACCCCGTGGGAATTGACTCATTTTTTTCCTTTCTTTCTTTTTTTTTAGCATATGAACCCACGATCTCTGTTCAGAGAGCAGAGGTTGGGAACACTGTGTGTTGACTTATTTCGTTCTCTAGAGGATTTGCCTGCAAGTGGCAATGAATGGATCACTGTGAGAACACGACCATATTTTCATCTATGACTGAACTATTCTATTCTGTTCCTGCTCCTTTTAGGGAGAGGAAAGTTGTTCCTAGTTATTTTAGTCTGAAGTTTTTCAAAACTTCCATTACAAACCATAAAGCAGTTTGACTTCTGGGAAGTTCTATTCCAGTTAATAATTTAAAATGTATTTATATGGTGAGGTATGACTCTCTAATGGTTATCTCTTTATAACCTATTTTAAGGAATAGATTTATAACAACAAAATAAACTGTTGCTACGTTTCCTGATTTATGGAACGAGCAGGTGCAGAAGGAATTCCTGAGTCAGGTGAGAAGGAGAAGACGACCTCTGAGAGTCAGTTTTAAGATCCCGCGTCTTCAGTTGTATGTGGAGGAACCCACACAAGCCCAAATAAATCTTTAATTCCCAACAAACCCACCAGCACCATCAGGATAGCCTCTTGTTCAAAAGGTGACAAGGTCACCTCACTCTTTTACTGCAACACAAACAAATCCAGACACCCATCCCCCACCACTCTTCCCCACCTCTCCACACATACGCCAACATTTATTTGTTTCTTTTTTTTAACCACTGCTTCAAAAGTGGGAAAGAAACACAGGTTTGTAAGGAGAAAAGTGAATGTGAAAAGTAAATAAATAATTACTAGCAATAATTGTGTTTTACAATGCTTTGCTAAACCAATGGCTTTCAAATTTTTTTTACTGCCACCAATAGTCAGAAGGACATTTTACATCATGTCCTTGGATATGCATACTTTGACATGTTTGTGTATGTATGTAGGTAGAGATAAATGTCATCAAGGTTCACAAAACACCACATAGGATGCACTAAGTTTTTTATTCTTTCATTTTATAAAATGTTGATCATGAGTCACTAAATTGATATCATGAGCTACTAAATGAGTGGTAAACTGCAGTTTAAAAAGTACTGTTCTCATGGGCAGTTTTTAGTCTTTATTCCAGAAAATAACCCCAATCAATTTTGTTTTTTAATACCAGACTTCTTGTGTTCAAAGGATCTACTCCTGAGACATTCTTTTGGCGTGTCTCCTTCATATTTGTCTCGAAAGTCCAGAGGTCGATGCAGATATTATTATGTAAGAAAATCAGGGTCATAGTCTTCCTTCATTGTTTCTGACATCAGGCCTAGATTTTGAATATCTCTTCTACCCCCAGAAACATTTCTTAAGGTGAAGTCTTTATAAGAACTGGCTTGAAATTTATCCAGCTTGGGCTATTGACTCAGGTGACACCTGCAGAGACTCTCATTGGACTAGAAATGGCTTAGAAAGTGACAGGAAAAAAGGGACAGATTAAATACTTGTGGCAGTTCATAAAATGAAATACAATGCAGCTGTGAAAAAGAATGTCGATCTGTGTGCTATGAACCAACAATATTCAAGTTATATTCTTAGGTTAAAAAGAATAAGATAAGCACACCGTGTATAGTAGATTTCCACGTGTTTTGAAAGGGGGAACATATGTGCTTATATGTGCATAGGATATTTCTGGAAAGTTCCACAAGATATTAGTAATGGGAATTGCCTCTAGGGAAGAGAAATACAGGACTGGAGGTCTGGGATGATAGAGATTTAGTATTTTTGTATCTTTTCATAGTATTTGAAATTTTTATTTTATGTATACATATATTACTTTTTCAATTAAAAATTGCTAATTTTTAAAGATATGATGGAGGGAGTAATTACTTGCAAACTCATTAAGATGAAGGGGGTTTTCCTGTGAACAGTCACAGAAATAGATGTTTATTGTAACACCAAAATGCATTATCTCTTTTATTTACGTATCTTGTACAATTTACAGAGTTTCACATCCATTGCCTGACTTAGTGTTCATGACAACCTTTTGAAATCGGCGGGACAAGTACTAGAAGCCGCACTCTACAAATTAAAAAAAAACCCTGAAACCTAAAGGAGTTAAAATCTAGAGCATATTTTAAGGAAAGAAATTTGGAGTAATTTGCATGATTGTGATATAGTAGAAACCTGAAATTTTACAGTGTTATGAGTTGCCAAGTAGTTTATGAATAGCAGAATTTTTAAAGCCTTTAGCACTAAACATTGACCTCTTAACTAAGAAACTCCTGCATAAAAGAGGAAGGAGGCAGAAAAAAAAAAAACCCTGCTGAAACTCTTTGTGTAAAATACTCCTAACATTAGAATATAAATGATCAACTAATGACTGGTTGAAAGTTAACATAAAAGAACTTGCATTTGAAACTTCACTATACGGACTCTCACCTTTGAATTAGAACAAACCTAAAATTGCCGAAGTAGACAAAGAGGGAAATTATAAATCATCACTACTAAATCTTGAACAATACCCTAAAGGTTTATGGTCATGGTCATTGTATCTGCCAGTGTCCCCAGACAATCCCAATTTAGACTCCCTGTCCCCAAGTCATTATGGATAGCACCCCTTGCACTCTCAAAAGTATCCTAGTTTGGGTGATAAATTATAGCTCCACCCTATTAAATATCACACTCTAGTCTCATACACCTTCAAGATCTTCGTGTTCTAAAGTTTGGGCTTCATCTCAAAACTAAGAATTACCCTCATTCATGCAAAAGCTCATGCAAAATGATCCACTCTCAGGTATGAGTGCATATATGACTCAAATAAAAAATATGTTTCCAAACGCTACCCACCAGCAACACTTGGCTTTATTGAAGAGATTAATATCTAGAAGGGAGTCTCAGGGCCTCATCTGGAAGTTTCGGCATGTGGGGGAGTTAAAAGGGAAATATGAACCAAGCTTGACTTGGTGAGACTTCTGAAGTGGAAGACAAATAACTGATTACACTTAACAGAGTTCTGAAGACAGAGTTCAAAAGGTGAAGCCCCCGCCCTGCTCCAGAGTCCTTCACTTACGTATTCATTTATTTTTTAATATTTAGAGAGTGGCTACTGGAGGCAAGACACTGTCCTAAGAGCTGCATCAGTTTTGTCAATAGCTTTAGGGACTTGAGGCTCAATTACCAGTGGTTTTCAGGAACAGAATACTATACATCAGATCTTGTTGCTTAAACAGCCTCTAAATGCTTTTCTGACTAGCACGCTTCAGAATTTCCATAATTTGTAGTTAGTCTATTCAATGATTAGAAAGATTATTCCCATGGTCCAGATAGGTTAAATCATTGCTGTGATTTTTTTTTCACCTTTCAATGTATTTCTTCCTTAGAACAAGCAAATGAATCAGTAGCCAAGCTGCGTATCATGGTAACAGCAGCTTTACTCAGCAGCGAGCATATCATCTATCCAGAAAATATAATTACTGAAATCTTAAGGCAATGCCACAGGTTGTTGATACGATGTGTTTGCTAGCTACATTCTCTAAAGCACTTGGCACTTAAGTTGAAGTTATGTAGCATGCGATTACTTGAGGTTTGTGTGTAAACTGTTAAAGGATGTTTTCATTGTTCTTTCACGTTTGGATTTACACTTTTAACAAAATCTTTTCAGAATGTATTTTAACATGCATGCACCAAAGGTCATGCTTCCCAGTTCTCTCTCCGAGGCTGTGGGACTTGGTTCTGAATTGGACAGTTTGACTATTCCACTCATTGTTCATGTGCACGTTGACATATGTCTTCTGTTTATTTCTCCTCTTTCTTTGCTTACTTAGAAGTCTTTATTTCCCATCAATTATTCACCAGACTTTTCACAAAAGGAATCCTATGGGTTTTTCTTTCGTTCTAATCATCACTGGTCGAGTGATTACTGTCGCTGCCTTCACTGTCACTATCACTGTCACTATCACTTCCGTTGTTGTTGTCATTACCAGACTTGCTCTTGCTGTCACTCTCATCACTGCTGTCAGATGCACTGTCACTGCTGTCACTACTGTCACTGCTGTCACTGTCACTGCTGTCACTACTGTCACTGCTGTCACTGTCACTGCTGTCACTGTTACTGCTGTTGCTGCTGTCACTACTGTCTTTACTGTCTGATTTACTGTCACTATCACTGCTGTCACTGCTGTCTGATTTGCTGTCACTGTCGCTACTATCTGATTTACTGTCACTGCTGTCACTACTGTCATCACTGCTGTCACTACTGTTGCTACTGTCACTGCTTTCACTGCTGTCACTACTGTCGTCACTGCTGTCACTACTGTCTGATTTACTTTCACTGCTGTTGCTACTGTCACTGCTATCACTGCTGTCACTGTTGTCACTACTGTCACTGCTATCAGATTTGCTGTCACTGCTGTCACTACTGTCTGATTTGCTATCACTGCTGTCGCTGCTGTCACTGCTGTCATTACTGTCTGATTTACTGTCACTGCTGTCACTACTGTCACTGCTGTTGCTGCTGTCACTGCTATTGCTACTGTCACTACTATCTGATTTACTGTCACTGCTGTCACTACTGTCTGATTTACTGTCACTGCTGTCACTGCTATTGCTACTGTCACTACTATCTGATTTGCTGTCACTACTGTCTGATTTGCTGTCACTGCTATCACTGCTGTTGCTGCTGTCACTGCTATTGCTACTGTCACTACTGTCTGATTTACTGTCACTGCTGTCACTATCTGATTTGCTGTCACTGCTGTCTGATTTGCTGTCACTGCTGTCACTATCACTGCTATCACTACTGTCGCTGCTATCACTGCTGTCTGATTTGCTGTCACTGCTATCACTGCTGTTGCTGCTGTCACTGCTATCACTACTGTCACTACTCTCTGATTTGCTGTCACTGCTGTCACTACTGTCTGACTTGCTGTCACTGCTGTCACTACTGTCACTGCTGTTGCTGCTGTCACTACTGTCTGATTTGCTGTCACTGCTGTCACTGCTGTCACTACTGTCACTGCTATCACTACTGTCACTGCTGTTGCTGCTGTCACTGCTATCACTACTGTTGCTACTGTCTGATTTGCTGTCACTGCTGTCACTACTGTCACTGCTGTTGCTGCTGTCACTACTGTCACTGCTGTTGCTGCTGTCGCTACTGTCACTGCTGTCGCTACTGTCACTGCTATCACTGCTGTCACTACTGTCACTGCTGTCACTGCTGTCACTACTGTCACTGCTGTCGCTGCTGTCACTACTGTCACTGCTGTCGCTACTGTCGCTGCTGTTGCTGCTGTCGCTGCTGTCGCTACTGTCACTGCTGTCGCTACTGTCACTGCTGTCACTGCTGTCGCTACTGTCACTGCTATCACTACTCTCACTGCTGTCACTGCTGTCGCTGCTGTCACTACTGTCTGATTTGCTGTCACTGCTGTCACTACTGTCTGATTTGCTGTCACTGCTGTCACTGCTATCACTACTGTCACTGCTGTCACTGCTATCGCTACTCTCACTGCTGTCACTGCTGTTGCTGCTGTCACTGCTATCGCTACTCTCACTGCTGTCACTGCTGTTGCTGCTGTCACTGCTATCGCTACTCTCACTGCTGTCACTGCTATCGCTACTGTTGCTGCTGTCACTGCTGTCTGATTTATCTTTGCTGCTGTCTGATTTATCTTTGCTGCTGTCTGTTTTGCCATTGTCATTGCTCCCATTGTTACCATTGCCATTACTGTCACTGTCATTAGTATCTGATGTGTTATCATTGTCATCATCATCTCCTTCTCCTTTTGAGTCACTGTCATTGCCATTATCTTTTGATTCATCAGAGTCATGAGAAGCATCTCCTCGGCTACTGCTGTTATTGTCATCTTCAGAATTGTCATCACCATTGTCCTCAGACTCATCACTGCTATTGGGATCATCTCCTTGCATGGATTCATCATCTAACTCATAACTGTCATGTCCATCGCTATTACTGTCACTACCTGTTTTGCTGTGTCCAACCTTATTTCCGGCTTCTAATTTCTCACCAGGTCCTTGTATGGTGTCAACCTCTCCTTGTGTCTTGACATTTCCTTTGCTTACGATCATTCCATGTTGTCTTTTACTCTCTTTATCTTCGTTGACTTTCCCACCTTCTTTGGTAATATTGTTTCTGTTGTCACCTCTGGAACCTTCAATTTCTATTCCCTTTGGAAGGATGGAGAAAAGAATGATTAATTAGTGAATGTTACGCCACAAAATTGCATTGGTCTGAGCAAGACTGACTAGGGAAGTTGGCCAGAGAAACAGGAGTTCAGCTTCCAGTATGTCAATCACATCTGTTTGTGAAAATGTGCTTTATTCAGTACTTGAAAGTACTCTGGTGTTTAGGTTACATAACAACCCATTCAATCCAGTAGGAACTTTGTAAACAGCTACATGGTACAACAATTATTTAGCACAAGATTTTGTAGAATTGTAACAAAATTTTCAGAAATATCTGCTTTTTAAAATTGTTCTGTATCAAAGTCTAATAAGGACTCTAGCTTTCCCAATAAATAATCAAGTAATTTAGGGGCCAAAATATATGAACACTTATGATTTATTTTTGTGCTACCATCAGTGGATGGAGAGGGAGAATTTAAACTGCCATTGAAAGAAATCAGGTTCGCAAACTAACCTTATCTTGGCTCTTCCCAATGGCACTTGGCTGTGATGCTTCAGTGAGTGCATTTTCCACAACTTTGTTTTCTCTGTGGTTGGGTTTTTGAGTGTCCTCTATTACTGGGCTATCATTGTCTTCTGGAATACCATCAGAAGCCTCCTCACTCTTGGAGGTATTGTCTCCATCAATGTCATGAGGATCTTCTTTGCCTTCAGGGGCATCATCTTCACTACTAATTGAATTTTGACCTAAGCTATTGTCACTGTCATCGTCTTCTCCATGAACCTCAGCCTCTTGGCCGCTGCCGCTATCAGTGCCCTCTTTCCCATTCTCTGTTTCTTCATCTTCATTATCACCAGAGCCCTTGTCTTCATCCTCATCTGCTCCATTCCCACTAGAACTCCCATCAGAATTATCCAGGCCAGCATCTTCACTATTGCCAGCTCCACTTCCCCAAGGTGTTACCCCTGCCTCCTCATTCCCAATTGTCTCACCTTCTCTCTGAGGGGTTATTTCACCTGTATCACCCTCATTTCCACAGGAATTCCCACTTATTCCATCCTCATGGCCTGTGCTGTTACTGTTTCCGGCTACTTGATGTCCATCTTCTTGGACAAAAGTGGCATCCTCACTCTGACTTGCGTCTCCAATATCCCCATTTGTTGAATTCTTACCAGTATTTTCACTGATATTGCTCCCATTTGCCGTCCCAGCATTGTCAATGATGCTTACTCGTCCCCTGATGCCATTTGCTGTGGTGCCCTCTTCTTCTCCTTGTATCCCATCATGACCATATGTTTCTGGGTTTCCTGTGCCCGCATTCTGATCCCCAGCATTCCCCTCTTCATTTACTAACATAGAATGTGTAGAAGAGCTTTTCCTTCCTACTTCTGCCCACTCAGAGCCATTTCTCTCTCCTTCGTAACTGTCTTTGGTATACTGTGGCTCTCCTCTTTCATTTTCATGCACAGGTACACCACTTTCTTTGGTGGTATGATTGACATTTAATTCATCCTAGAAAAGAGGAACAATTCCAAATAAACTGTGAATATCATCTTGAAGTAAAGAAAACTGAAAAGAAGAGCATTAATTTTTTGAAAGTTAATGGAATCTAAAAACAGCTTAGAAACACATTTTACATCCTGTACCTGTATTGGCGGTTTCAATTTTTCTGGAAGATTTAAATTCACAGATTTATCAACAGCATGTCTCTCCAATGGCTTGATTTGAGGAACCTACCAAAATGAAAATAGTGGAAATTGAAAACACTCTTATTTTGTGTACATGCACACACATGTGCACACGTACACACACGTCTTTCCTTAAATGAACATAAGAGATATAACACAAAGGTTGAAGTGTAATCTAATCAGGTAGGAAAGAGAAATGGCTTGTTACAGGCCTTATGTAGAATTTAAACTGGGCATACAGATATTTGTCACAGTGGTAGTACCAATTTTATTGAAGTATTAACCAGACCACTTATCTCAATTGTAGCAGGGGAATAGTCTTTTACAAAAACTAAGAGAGAGGCTTTTGGTGTTTCTGTTCAACAAGCCTCTTGCAATAGCACAAGACCCACTCTAAGAATAATCCTGGCCAAAACCCCTAAGAAAGTAGTAGGCGTGACCTGAGCCAGTGCAGAAGCAAAAGCAAGTAGTGTGCTACTTCTGTAACTTCAGGAGCACATTTGAAATAGTTGAGAAAATTCTCAACTACATAAATACTGAAGAGTTTGGTATTATAAAAATATATCAAAATGTTAACCATAGCAGCTGGCTAATAAAATTGCGAAAGGTTTAATTTTCCTTTGTTGGTGTTTATCTGTTTATTCCAAATGTTCTACAGTGAACATAAAACATAACTCTCTGAGTGAAACATTGGTTTTCTCCTATGTTGAAAAATCCTGTTTTTTCTATTTTTTTCTTGAAAATTTCCTAAATAATACAGGCTTCATTGATATTAAAATGAAATTCACAGGGCATGAGCAAAGGTGGACAAAGGCTACACGACTCCTGGGGATTGAATGTAAATTAATCTGGAGGAATTGTAGGAGCAATAATCCTTCTGACGAGATGCGGCTTTCAATTAGAGGATGGGAGCACGAACTGGAGTGCACATTTGATTTTGTTGAGACCCCAAATATATCTTGTAAAGTCTTTCACGCAAATCTGAATGTTTAGCTCAGTTTATCTGCAAAGTCTTAAGGAAATTAATGTTTTTTTAATGTTAGATTAAAAGAGACAGCAGAGTAAGGAGGCTTCCTGAGGAAGGCATACTCACTGGAATGGCCCATGCTGCCGCCCAAATGCAAAAACATACAATTATCTTCATTTTCTTTAGGAATATTAATCAGTGGCTGTTTTTAAAGAAAAAACAACAACACAATATTACTTATAAAGGGAAAGATGATAATCACAGTAACGTATTATTTTGGTTTGTGAGCAATTGCCTTTTTTCCAGGCAAGGAGTATGTATCCAATATGAGAAGAAGGTTGTCAAGACTCAGTGTTCCAGAACACACCTGGAGTGGTCAGAGAGACATGTGGGGACATCACCAGGCTCCGCACAGATGTAGCTACATAGACATTTTCTGCCTATGCCAATGAAGGGGCACATCATGTAGTTACAAAGTGCATAAGCATGACTTTGTCATTCTGCTGTTTTTGATGGTAATAACATCAATTCTGAAGAGTTTTAATCAAGTATTAAGTAATTCTGCTAAGATTGTGCTTAAAAGGTGAGGCACTTATCATACTCACCCCAAATCCATCCGATTGGGTCATCCTAGACTGTAAGGGAAAGACACTGCTAGCATGAGGGAGCCCAGGCTAGTGGAAAGAACGTGGAGTTTGGATTCTGAGACCTGGGTTCAAATTCTACCTTTGTTGCTTGATGTGTGAGCTTGAGAAATTTCAGTGGCTTTACTAAGCCTTTGTTTCCTCTGTCTGGGAAAACAATCACACCTGCACTTCAGGATCATTCTAACTATCTTAGCAGAAGAATCTTCTCTGAGACGCATTCTCTGACTTCATTTCCAAGGGCATTTGGTGTCTCTCTCTCCTTTCTACACGAAGCAGCTTCTGCACACCTCACTGGCAGCATGTTGCACTGTTTTAAAATAACCTGGTCTCTTATAGGTCCCCCTGACCTCCTGCGAGCTCCTACGGCCCAGGAGAGCATCTGGGCGATCATCGTATTCCAATATGCAGCACAGATAAAGACGTGTGAATGTTGTTGACGAATAAATACTTCATGGTATACACAGCGCCAAGCACTGTTTCTGGTGTTAGCAATCTCTTAATAAATGACAGCAATCATTATGTGGGACTTCCAAAAACATGACCCTTCATTCCTGTTAGGATTCACATTCAGAAATGGACTATAACGTATTTTTGACACATTGGAATAGATATTGTATGGTCTGTGTGAACCAAAAACTTAAATTCCTATTTACTGCAAGCAGGAGTTCTTGATGTAATGATAAAATTACTACAGAAGGGAAGGAAGAGTTTTACTCCTATTTCATGAATTCCCACTGAGTTTATAGATCAGAATACTGCATGTCATAAATAGCCTTGATTGAATTTAATGTCGATACATAAAATGTGGGAACATAAAACCTCAGTGAACATCAACTGTCATAGAATTACTGACATTTCCTCACAGGACAGAGAACACGGTTCCAGAACTACTGAGAGAGAGAGAGAAAAATGCTTACTCTTACAGCTGTTCAGCAGAAAGCCAAGAATAGCTAGACCTCCTTGAGAAGTGCTATAGGTTAAAACGAGGCCAAGGTGACCCCAGGACAAGTATATTGCAGAGTTCTGGGGCACAGATGTTGAAGGGCAGCTCTTTAGTAAGTGGGGGTTATAGTGGACTTTACGATCCCCAGCCTAATTATCACATAGGTTCTGCGGAAGACCGGTCCATGCTGTGATTTGGAGGAGCCGTGTTGTCCTGGAAAAGTACCGTAGCGAAGGCCAGGTACTGTGCATCCCATTTCTAAACCGCAATCCGGCAATCTGACCACTTTATCTCCCTTGCAGATGCACTCCAGATCAACGCACGGCGCACGATGATGCTTGCCACTGTATCCACAGGTAGGGAAAGGGCTCGACAGACTACCTTAGAAATGGCCTCGATTTTGTCAGCCTGAAAGCAGAGGCTTCAGAATCATGTGAACCCCTTCAGATTATCTCATGAATTGTCACAAATGAAATGTGATTCAGCAATTGTCTAGTTAATTTGAACAAGTTAATAAAACAGTGAAAAGTAAAGCTTAATTAAAGCCCTGTTTGAAAGCCCAAGGTGGATATTTTAAATCTGGGTTATCCAATTTTTTATCAAAACTAATCAAAGCAACCAGATAACTATCAAATTTCCACCTCAGTTTGCCAATGTTTTAGTAACATGTCTTTCAATTTCCCAAACCTATTATGATATCACAAAACAAAAAAGTACGTGACAGAAGTCAGAATCCCCAGATATCCTAAGTAGATGTATTTTAATCTGGCTTTTAAAACCCTAATGTCAACTGGAAAAGAAAATAATAATTTTTTAGACCAAAGGTTGATTTTTCAGAGACTAGAAAATTAAATGTAAACTGTGATTCATTCATTCATTCAACAAACATTTGAAGGCCTGATGTAGGCTGGATACTGAGTCCCGGAAATAGATATGAGCCCTAACCTCACGGAGTTTATCGCTGAGTGGATTAGCCAGATTTTGAAATAAATATAACGCAATGTGTTAAATCAAATTCCAAAATCCATGTTTACTTCTTAACATTGTCAGTGTTTAAATGTTACTTTTGTTACTATTTGAAAGAGGAAGAAATTATTTCTTTCCTTTTTCATTAATCCTTTCACATCTTACATTGCAATGATGAGGCTAATAAAATGGCTTTAACCAGACACAAGTTTCTTAAAGATGGTTTTTCTGGATAAAGATAACAGTAATGGAGTTTTAGTGAATTATATATACTATATTCTAATCACTCCTTCTGTTGTTAATATTTTAGATTTAAAATATTTGCTTCATTTTATACATACTTTTTCTATTAGCAACTGATAGTTTAACATACTGTCTATGAAAAAAATCCTATTCTTCAGTGATGCAATGTTTTACAAGATGAAATTAGTATCCCTTACCCCATAATTTTTCATTTCCTTTTAATGCATAGTCTTGATTTGACAAGTCAAAAGGGAAGAAAAAAATCTAATCATAAGGGTTATTCACTTCTTAAAATCATTTTGGCTTTTTCTCTGAAATTCAGATTTCTTTCTAAAGGAATCAGTTGCTTCTGAGTAGAGAGGATGTTCCATCTTACCTTAAAAGCCTTCAAAGGGACTTTGAAAATCCAGAATTTCTTATCTTTCTCTTTGAAGACTGAGAGTGGCACACTGTCCTGGACTTTTGCATGACAATTTTGTACCTGCCGAAATTTAAACTCAGTTTGATAATTTTCTCAACCAATCACTGTTTAGGATCCCTGATGTGGGGTTATAAAGTGTCGCCGTGTCTATGAAGCACATAATAACGTCCCCCACTTCCTTCACTTGCTCATATGTATTTGCTCACTGAGCCATTCAGTTCCAAAGGGACTAGACTTACTTTCACTTAATTAAATAGCTCCTGGGAAGCTGTTTTGCATCTTAAATATAGAGAATCAGTGTAACATTTCTGAAAAGAGCCACTTAACCTCTGTCACCCTGACATTTCTTGCCTTACTAAGGTTGGCAATCTAAGAAAACTCTAGGTTTCTTTAGTAAATATGACTCTATTTAAGACCCCTATCATTCCTGAGGTAGGTATTAAAGTTTCTGCGCTATAATTCAAGAAACTGTCCACTTGCAACAGCCTTGACATTGCCTGAGGGGCCTTTAACAATCTATAAATACTAACTCCCAAGAAATCTCTCTGACCTAAATAAACAATGATGTGAAGTTTAAAAGGGTGTCAGTTTACTATTCAAAACTAAATTTTAAAAATAGATATTCAAAATACTAAAACTTATTATAAGGTAGCTAGAGGTGCAGATATACAATAGATTTCACTCTCGATTCTCTCTCAGTCATTTGTGTTAGCTGTGGAGGACGAAATAGCAAAACAGACCATTTCTAGCAGAAAGTTTTGGTACCTGAACTCACCATTCTCTTGAACCCGAGATGTATGCTCTACTGCAGGTAATCTCTAAGCCATTTCCTCAAATTGTGATTACAAAAACTTGACAACCGATGTCTCTCCACGTACTTGTTCAGAAATTTTAGGAATATTCCAATCTTTTTTTATGTTATAATATCAAAGGATAGGAACCACATAAGACCACTAATATACCACTAGCCAACAGTGGTAAGTCTAGAATTTATATATAGATGAATACAGAGAAAGCAGTAAGGCTGAAAGGGAGTGGAGGGAATGGAAAGAAGATTTGCCTTGAAGCTGTGTTTTCATTTCAAGTATTTTGTTTTTATTTAGACAGTCTGTTTTTGTGGGTGGCTGAAAGGGCCTGATCAAACTTTAGGGAGTCTTAATTTGCTCCTGGGAGCAACACCACACCCTCACTCACACACAGACACAAGCGGAGCTTAGTGAACTGAACCAGCCCTCTTTTTCCTTTAAGTTGAATTATCATGAGTTATAGTTAGAGATTTCAATAATTGAGACAACTAGTAGGCAGAAAATCAGTATAGATAACAAGATTTAAAGAGAAATATCATCCAACTAATCCAATGATATTTATTGAATGCTTCGTCCAACTACGGCAAAATAAGCACTTTTTTTCAAGTGCAGGTGGTACATTTACCAAGATAGACCATACTCTAAGCCTCAAACAAATCTCACTAAATTTAAAAGGATTTGAGTCATGCAAAGTATGTTTACTAACCACAATAGAATTAAATTAGAAATCAAAAACAGGAAGATATCTGGAAAACCCAAATATTTGGAAGCTAAATAGCACACTTCTAAATAACCAATGGATGAAAGGAGAAACCAAAGGGAAATTCAAAATATACTGAATTAAATGAAAATAAAAACACAACAATTTATCAAAATTTGTGGGATGTCGCTAAAGCAATTCTTGGGGGAAAATTTATAGCACTAAATACCTGTACAAGAAAAGAAAAATGTCTCAAAACAATGACTTCACCTTCCACCTCAAGAAACTACAAAAGAAAGAAAAAATTAAATTCAAATTAAGTAAAAGAAAGGAAATAATAAAAGTCAGAACTGAAATCAACAAACAGAAAAAGGATAGAGACAATAAAATCAGAAGCTGATTTTTTTGAGAAGCTCAATCAAATTTGTAGGATTCTAGCCAAACTAATTAG